CAGCTCCGGCAGGGGGAGACGGGGCTGTGAGGCGGAAAAGCTGCGAAAAGCAGGGCCCCCGGAGTCGCGCGCAATGTGCGCGCAGAGGACTGAATGTTGACTCTGATGCTGGGTTACCCTAGCCGGAAGAAACAAGGCCTCCGGCGGTGCTGAGCCTCAGTCCAGACTGCTCCGAACCCCAATTCTGGGCCAATCCCTGGGGACTCAGACTCAGGCTCAGGCAGAGGGAGACGGGGCTGTGAGGTGGAGTCTGGGGAGAGCGGCGAAAGGCCAGGCCCCCGGACTTGCGCACACTGCGCGCAGAAGACAGTCTGTTGACTCTGATGCTGGACTCCCCTAGCTGGTCCCCGGGCTGGGGGAACGCGGCAGGGAGCAGGAGCCCCTGTCGGACGCCGGCCAACCGGGAACCAGCAAGGAGCCGGGCGACGGGGCCCCTGGGGGGGGGTGGGTGCCCCTGAGCCTTCAACCGCTGAGCGCGGGCAATGGAGCCAAGGCCGGGAGCTGCTTCCTGGGCGGCGCCGTCCCCGGCAACAGGCTGAAGCAGCACAGGAGCCCGCGGAGAACAAAGGGGTGCCACAGGCCAACCTGCTGAGCTCCCAGGACAAGGAGGAAGAAACCAAAGAAGTTCTCAATGTGAAGAAATCAAGTGAGAGCAAAAGATAGTAAAATTATTTAAGAAAGAATACAAAGAAGTTTTTGAAAAATCAAAGACTAAGTCAGAACTCAACTCACCAGCCAACATTGCAACATAAATGTGTTTAAAAAAAAAAAAGGAAAAAAAAGGACAGAATGTTGGAACAGCGGCGGCCAGGCCTAGAGTGGCCAGGCACAAGGCAGTGGCAGCCAGGCCCAGAGCAGCAACGGCCAGGCCCCAGAGCAGCAGCAGCCAGAACCAGAGCATCAACAGCCAGCACTGGAGCAGCCAGACCTGGAGCAGTGGCAGCCAGGCCTGAGGTGGAGGTGGCCAAGCTCAGGATGGCCAGTCCAGGAACACCCAGAACCGGAGTGGCCAGGTCCGGAGAAGCTGGGCCCAGAGCAGCCGGGGTGGGAGCAACCAGACCCAGAACAGCAGTAGCCAAGCCCAGAGCATCCAGGTTGGGAGTGGCCAGGCTCGGAGCAGCTGGGCCCGGGGCAGCCGGGCCCAGAGCAGCCGGGTCGGGTGCGGCCAGGCCTGGATCAGCAGCTGCCAGGCTGGGAGCGGCCAGGCCCGGAGCAGCCGGGTCTGGAGTGGCCAGGCCTGGAGCAGCGGCTGCCAGGCTGGGAGCGGCCAGGCCCGGAGCAGCAGCAGCCAAGTCCAGAGCAACTAGGTCGGGAGCGGCAGTGACCAGACCAGCTTGTTGTGGAACGAACCAGAGCAACAGAGGCCAGGCCCTGAGCAGCCAGGCCCGGAACAGCTCGCTCCTTGCCTGCCCCTGCCCCATGGCTGCCTCTCAGACATGGCTGGAAACTTTCGTGGGAACTTGAGGGTCTGCTGAATCAAGTCATGAAGGCTTAGATCTGGATGTGTTGAGTTAGTATAGGGCTGGGGTGTTGATCTGTGAGTGCCTTGGGTGGGGCCTGGATGAGGCTAGTTGACCTATTGGGAAATGTCTTTTGTGTGAAGTGTATCATTGGGCATGTGGAGGTATTATTGATATGAGAAAATGCTAAGTAATTGATTTACTATCTGAAAAGGGATTTACTATCGGGGAAAGGGAGGGAAGAAGAGACTGAACATAAACTGTGCACCTATGGATGAGGACAATGGGGGATGGGGAGAGGGCAGAGGGTGGGGTGGGAACCTGGTGGAGGGGGGAAGAAATGAGGAACCTTTGTAATAATATGAACAATAAAGATTGATTTAAAAAAAAATAAAGAAAAATTTTAAATCAATTATCTAATTTTCCACTCTAAAAAATTGGAAAAATGACACAATAAACCCCAAACAAAGAAAATGATGGAATAATAAAGATTAGGGGAAAACAATGACATAGAGGTTAGAAATACAAAGAGAAAAACAGATGATTCCCAAGGTTATTTGAATAGATCAACAAAATTGGCAGACTGACCCCCTCCCCCAAAGAAGAAATACTCAAGTTACCAAAATTAGAAATAAAAGAGAGGAGATCATTACCAATTCTACAGAAATGAATAAAAGAATTATATGGAAATTTTATGCCAACAAATTAAATAACCTAGAAATAATTACTAAAGTATTCAGAGGTAATGGAGCATTAGGCCTGAAATTAACTCGTAAATAATTCAAGAAAAAAAAAGTTTTACAGTACTCATTATTTCTGTATGTATGAAATTATTTTAAAAAGAGAGAAAAATAAAAGAATGATACCATCAAGGCCACTATTCACAGCAAGGCTTATCATTGTAAGAAAGAAGGAATCTCGAAGTTCAACAATAATGGTTTACTTCTAATCAGTGGAAAAGTTCATTAATATACAGGTTTCAACATGTACACACGTGCACAAGCACAAATGCCTGGAGTTGTGTTTACAGATGTAGAGCAGTATCAGAATCAGCTGGAAGGCTAAGGTGTGGCTGTCGGAGTGGATGGCTGAGATAAAGGTATTTGGAAGTGAGGAAGTCAAGGAACAGGAATGCACAATATTGTAAGAGTCTTACTTGAGGGCTTTGAGATTGTGTAAGATGATGGCAGGACTTAGGCTGTACAGAAGGACTATAAGTTAGGTCCCAAGTCAGGGAAGAGGGCTTTAGGTAAGAAAGAAATGAACCTCAAAGAGGTTGGAGAATTAATGAAGTGATAGTGGAGAAGTACAGAGGAAGGATACGGATCCTAACCTTAAATATTTCTTAAGCACTGTGCCTAGCTGGCCTGATTCTGACATAGATTCAAAATTTTATGGAAGACTTCATGCTAGAAATCAAAGGAAATTACATGAAGCCTGGTCTGCAATCGCTATGTTTCAGGAAATCAAATATGAAAGAGTTTTCTATAATTCTTTTCTGATCTACTTACAAGGAGAATAGGGGGAAAGAACAGAGTAATTGAGCTAACACTAATTTATTCTTCACACTTGTTTGTGAAATGATTTTATTTAAAATCCCTTTGAATGTTGTTGAATCTAATTCATTTGTGATTTTATTTAATTGCAACTGTTTAGACAAAGCTTTAACATATGAAGCAAATTACCAGTTACTTTATTCCTTTAATGTTATAACACCATATATACTATATATACAGGGGAGGCCAAAAGTAGGGTAATAATAATAATAATAATAAATATTATAATAAATAAATAAGTAATACAATAATAAACTCTGTCTTGTGTATAATTGTAAACCTACTTTTGCCCACCCCAGTATATGTTTTGTACATTGTGCACATTCAAAAACTTAAAAATGGTTCTATGAAAATATAGTATAAACTTTATGGTTGCTAAGCTTGTTTCTCTGTCTCCATGCACCAGTCTCCACACACTTAATTTTAAAGATTTGTTATATGAGTAGAAGAATATTTTCTGGAAAGGGGGAATCTCAATTCCACTAGATGGTGATTATTATTAGCTTAATTGTTTTTTGAGGAATGATTCATTTAAATTACATTGTAATACCCCAAGTTATAACAAGATGATATATATTTGTATTTACCATTTACACTTAAACTACTAATTCTTATGGAAAGTTGTTTGTCATGCTTTTGCCCCTGTAGACTCTTATTAAATTGAAATCACTTCAAGATGAGTATGTATGCTCACTACACATGCTTTTATTAAGTGGGGGAAGGAAATTATTTGGAATTCAAGTTTTTCCATGGGCTTTGTGCACAAGAACCAGCAGCTACAGAGGAAATCCAGCTTACTTTTGTTCTAATGCACCCAGAAGATTTCAAATCAATACTTAGCATTAATGTTTTAATTGAAAATTAACATTGCTATAATTGGAAGTGAGCATCAGCATCCTGCTATCTATTTAGGAGAGGGCTGTTTGGTTGGGAAGGCCATTATGCAGGAGAGCACAAACATTGGAAGAGCAAAACAAATCATTTGTTTCCTTGAGCAAGGACACAGAGTAAACACTTGAATTCCTGGTCAACTATAATTTGCTTCTAGAGCCAGCAAATTTGGCAACACTGCAGTTTAGATTTATAGCAGAGCACACATAGCAGTAACTTTGAAAGCAAAATATATTAAAAAAAAAAAAGAAAACAAGGAAAAAGTTACTAGTTCTTAAAATTTCCTCCCTCAACCTAAAAGCAAGGATGTATTCTTGCTGCCATGACCATGTTCCTCAGCCGCTGTTCCCAAATAAGTACTCCTCCAGGAAATCAATGACATTTGAGTCTGGGTTATCAACAATCCTTTATTTATTTATTTATTTATTTATTTATTTATTTATTTATTGCCTGGGATTTTTAAATCAACATGTTCCCAGTCTGAATATTGTTTTTCTTTCCATCATGGTAAAAAATAAATGTAAAATATTGTATTGTTTTCTATATGCTTTCAATATCTTTTTAAAAAATACATTTATTGATTTTTTTACAGAGAGGAAGGGAGAGGGATAGAGAGTTAGAAACATCAATCAGCTGCCTCCTGCACACCCCCTATTGGGGATGTGCCCGCCACCAAGGTACATGCCCTTGACAGGAATTGAACCTGGAACTCTTGAGTCCATAGGCTGACATTCTACCCACTGAACCAAAGGTCACTATCTTAAAAAGTTCAGTCACTTCTTCAAATCCACAAGAAAGGCACTCTCTCAGGTAACATCCTGGGCTCAGTACCCCCTAAGGCACTCCCACCTCTTTCCTATTAGAAGAGGAGCATCCAGTTCAGCTGTAGCTCCTGCGTGGAGTAGAGGGAGTTTAGGGGAAGGGGACTTCTACAGGAATCCTCAGTTCCATAGATAAGCCCTCTTCTCAGTTCTGAGAGTGAAAAACTACTCACAACGAGTGCTCACTCACTGTCCCCTTTCACTATGTGACTTCGGAGTCCAAAGAGGACCCACCAGTGAGGCGCCATCTGCTCTGTTTTGCAGCCTGGACTTCACCCCGTTGCACAGTTTGCTGAACTGGAGCTCAGAGCAGTAGCCTGCGCACCACTCTCCACCGCAGGAGCGGCCAAAGGCCCCTTTCCTGGCCTAGAGGAAGGGCTTTTGTGAAAGCAGAGTTTGAAAAGCCCCAGCACTGTCATGGTCAAGATCACTAGCACTACCACTGCTATGCTCACAAGTATGAAGACCACGGTGGAGGAGGAGTCCAAACCACGGGGACTGGCGGAGGACGACGTGGAATTAGACGTGGGAATCACGCTTCCTGAAGAAGTGACGGTGGCCTCTGAGTTGGCTTGAGGGGACATCCGAAGGGTGGGCAGCGTGCTCTTTGCTGCCCACCCAGGGATCTCAGAAATGAATGTGGCTGAACTGCCTTGTCCAGGGACCTGGGTCATTTCTCGTGGTTTGTCAGGGACTCTGGGTGACCATGTTCTCCTCGGCGTGGGGCTGGCTGCAGTGGCCAGCGGGAGCCTGGCGGGCACCATGGTTGCCCCCGGGTCCGGCTGTCCTTCTCCGTAGGTTACACAGGAGCGTCCGTCTCTCCCCAGCACGAAGCCCGCAGCACACTCGCAGACAAAGCCTTCCGAGTCGTCCAGGCAGTCGGAGAGCTCGGCGCATCTGCCTGCGCGGAGGTACCGCCCGGGGCAGGGACAAAGCGCAGCCCCGGGGGGCATCCCGTCCCAGCGAGCGCCGGCCCCGTCCACGATGCAGGTGGCCGTGGCCGCGGCGGGTGGCCGCCCGGGGCAGCGCGCACTCACCTCGGTGCCGGGCGGGCTGAAGGCCAGCGCCGCGCTGTGCAGCTGGAAGGGCGCGCGGAAGCTCAGGGCGGAGGCGGCGCCGGGGCGCGGCGCGGGGCACAGGCCCTCGAAGCGGTACTTGCACAGGTAGCCGTGGGCGCGCAGGTGGCAGCGCAGCTCCCTCCAGCCCGCGGGCTCCGCGCCCTCGGCGGCCTGCAGCGCCGCGCAGGCCCGCACCACGCAGGAGCGCTGCGGCTCCAGCACCCACGGCAGCGTCTCGTTCTCCAGCCCGTCCACGTCCACATCGTCCACGTCGGGGCTCACCCAGGAGAATCCCCGCAGCGGATCGCCCTCCAGGGTGCACTCGGACGGCCTGCGCTCCAGCGCCACCCAGAACAGAAGGTCCCTGGAGCCGCCTCCGGGCCCCGGGCCCGCGCGCAGGAGGGCCAGCACCTCGCGGAGCTCCGCGCCCCCGCGCACCGTGCTGAGCGCCCCGCCGCGCAGGCTGCAGGCCTCCTGGGCCGCCGGCCGCTTGATGCCGGCGTGGTGCAGGCTGTAGCAGGCCCCCGCGGCGGAGCAGCCCGCGCGGTCGGCGGTGGGGTGTTCGCCACGGCCGGGCCGGGGCCAGAGCGCCTGCCAGAGGAGGCACAGCGTGAGCGCCGGCCTCATCCTGGAGGCCCCGCGCGCAGCTGCTCCCCACTGGGCTCCGTCCCGCCCGAGGGCTCCGAGGTGTCCCTAAGCGCGGTCACCGCCCTCCACAGCGGGCTCTACCCTTCCTTCCCCCGCCCGCCCCCACTCCCACCCCCAGCCCCACCCCCAACCTCCAAGAACCCCCACCAGGGTCCTGGCAGCAAACAGGCTTCCCTTAGGCCGAGACAGGAAATGTGCCGGGAGCTCTGCCAGCGCCGGTGCAGCCCTGATTTATGCTGGGGTCAGGCACACAGCTGGCGCGGGGCGCAGGGAACGCAGTCCACCAGGAGGTCAAACACCCTGCTAAGAGCAAGAGGGGAAGAAACCCGATGCTTGGGTGGGGGTCTGGGCGGGGGGGGAGGTTCGGGAGGTGGTAGTGGGGGGCAGTTTAGGGAGTTTTAGGACCTTAAATCCCCATACACTTTAGTGAACTCGGACAGGAAGGGCTGGAGAAGAGGAACTCGCCCCCGGCCTACGCCCGCCCATTGTGCTTCATCCGGAGCCTTGGTGTTGGAACCGCAGTTGGTAGAGGGCTCCAGCTTCCATCAGGCCTGCGACTAAAGGGGCAGAATCCTGTGGGAAATACAAACATCTCTTTTCCTCCCCGGAGGCCGCACTATTTAACCGCCGGTCTGTTGCTGGGCTCTGCTTGTCTGTTTTATCCAAGGAGACTCAGGTGTCCTGTTAGTAAAAGAATGAGAGTTCCTTTGGGGTATCTTAAGTGGGGAGTCCTGCTTCTTGGGTGAGCAGTTGCCTTAAACGTTTGTTTTTCGCTTCCATTTGTTTCTCTTGGGAGTGGCCCATGCTGGTTCATTGAGGAAAGGAGAAATGTAGGCCCAAATGGGAAAAAGGCCATAGGTCTTTACCCTTGTTAGGTTGCTAGCTCCTTATCACTATATTATTTCATGACTTCTTCCAGTTTACAGATTATAGGTAAATGAATTCATGGTCATATTAATGTTTGAGAACAACTCCTCCACCTCTGATTTTATCGTTGAACGATTTCACATTATCTTCTCCTAGGATTTAGTGTCAATATTTGCACCATTACGTTGTTGAAGTCACCTTTAAGGGTCACTAGAGTCAATAGCCTAAAGAAGTGAAAATATTTACAACATTGTAATGCATATTTAATATTGTAAGAAAAATATTAAACTCCACAACTTAAAAACTGAGTGAGTCAATTTCTTTATAGAGTTCCAACGGGTGTTCTGTTTAAATATAAACATTTCAACTCGGTTGAGAGTGGGTAGGAATTAAAGACAAGTGAAGAAAAGAAAGGTTAAACACTGCACTGTCTATGAAAGAATTTTCTGGTTAGCAAATTAAGCAATTCTACATCATTTTGAGAAATAAATGCTGTAATCAGAAATACATAGAGTTTCAAGAAAGCCCTCTTAAACGTGCATGATGCTTTTGCATATCTATATTCAGAATGAAAGTTGCCATTCCATGAATAACGCATACCACATTTTAAAACTCGCTTTGCTTTCCTGAATGCTGCTGTCCAGGTTACTGAGGAGGAGGAGGAAGGAAGGTTTCAGGATCACATTTCTATGTTCCCACCTCATTTTTACCACTGCTCTCATTTTTCTGCTCTTAGAAAGTTCATGTATCTTAACAAAAGATATAAACACCAGGAATCATCATCACACTTACCTTGTTTTTGCTCACTGAGGAGTTTTGCCTCAGGATTTCTATTCTATCCTCACTCTTTCCCAGTTGAAAGGACATTCATTAGTCCTTCATTTCAGATGTCTTAGAATAACCTTAAACATGACTTTGCATTTTAATTAACTAATGTCTTACAAGAAAGGAACATGAAAATTCAGAAATCTAGTTGAATGGATTTTAAAAATACTTAATCACTTGGGCCAGTTCTGAATGCTTTTGCAATCTAATGATTATATATTTGTAAATGTATCCATATAGCATTGCATATTTTAATAATATAAAACATTTTATAAACCTAAGTAGTCAATAGAAATATTTTAGATATTTTTAGAATCACTTGGTATGAGATGAGGTTTCTAGATTAAGGAAGAATGACTGACTGGAAAGCTGAGAGGAAATACATGATCTCACACCCTGACATCCTGCCTAGGGAGGTGGGATATAAGAAGAGAACATAGTGGCTAGAATGATTCCATATCAGGGTCCTAACCATGCTTACAATGATATGAGAGAAAAGTGAGGGGGGGAAAAATTAGCTCAAGGTAATTTTTTATCATTTTGTGACTAATTGCTTTGTACTGATTTACATACCATTAAATTAAGATCAAAGGAGCAATGAACATAAGATTCTGGGTGATGGATTCTTTTGGTGAGAGTGAGGAGGGGGGATAGATTGGTGAGGGAGCCAAGGGTTGGATGTGGACTGTTGCTGGAGTCCTAGCTTTTGTTTTGGATAGTGAATTTATGGATGATTATTCCACTATGAAAAAAATAATTAAATAATTTTTAAATGAATAAAAGTTGCTATATCTAGACAAATGATGAAAGAATAACATGAACGAAATATTATAATTAGTCTAATTCTGAGCAGCTGAATTCCACCATGTAAAGTCAAAATAAAAACAAGATGTGGATGTAGTTTTCTTTACCCAAATTTATGGGTGAAGCATTTTTAAATTTAAGCCAATTTTTACTCTGAAAAAAACACAATTGGTAAAATATCTAAAATGTTTTTAGACTTTTCAGACAAACTGCATATTATTAGTAAGAATCACATATGGCTTTTATTTATTTATACAATATTCATTTATATAAGGCTAACCAAGAAATGTATAAAGAAGTATATGGGATAATATATAAAGAACACATTTACTCCAGCATTTTCAATTTTATTATTAATTTAAAGTATTAGAAACATAGATATAGAAGTATAACATTTTAGTAATCATATCCTTTGCAATCTCATAAATTTATAAATTTTTTTAAAGTATATTTTACTGATTTTTTACAGAGAGGAAAAGAGAGAGACAGAGATTTAGAAACATCAATGAGAGAGAATCATCAATCAGCTGCCTCTTGCACACCCTACACTGAGGATGTGCCCGCAACCAAGGTACATGCCCTTGACTGGAATCGAACCCGGGACCCTTCAGTCCGCAGGCCGATGCTCTATACACTGAGCCAAACCGGTTTCGACATAAATTGTTGATCCTCCCTGAATAACTTCTATGATTACTGAAAGAAAATAGCTGCTGGCTCTTCACATATTTCTGAGTTCACTTAAATATAAAAATACTTTAGAAGAAATTGAAAAGAAGACAGCATCCCAATAGGTCAGTATAATGCTCAGTGTTGTGGGGTAGAACCCTGGGTTCAAAATAAGACCACTGGAGGCTGATGACTGATTTAAAAAAAAAAAAAAAAAAAAAAAAAAAAAAAGCAGGCAAGGATTTATTGAGCTGGCCAGGACGACCACAAGAGCAACACGGGTAGGTGGCCACACTTGTGACCACACAGTTCCAGGTGTTCCGCACGCAGTCTTTTGAAAGGTCCAAACCACAGGAATTTTCCTTTGTTCTCAATTCTAAGTTCTAAAGGCTGGGAACAGCCCACAGGGACCATTGGAATGTGTCCCTATCTTGTGATAGCCGATAAGCAGAGCTCAGTGGTTAATCTCTAAAGGTTATCTACAGTTTCTACCCCTGAAGCTACTCAGTCAGTGGGAATCAATCTCCTATCTCCTGTAGTTCCGGTCCCAGGCAAAGGAAAATTGCCTTAGCCTCCAGGTCTCCACCTGGAAGCTGAGGTAACTACCCTATGTTTAAGCAGGTGCAGAAGCCAGAATAGCACAGTTAAAATTCAAACAGCAGTTTTTACCCAAGTATGGTTGCTACTACATTTCACTCAGAAGCTAATCTATAGAGACTAAATACATTGTGGAGATTCCTAGCTTATTATAATTGTTTTGGACCTTAACAAAATGATCAATATTTTTATATTTTTAACAGAAATTTTTAAATTTTATTTCTCAAGTGTCCATGAAGTGCTTAATGAATGACAAAATATGGTAATTTTATTTGGTGAAAACACAACTTCTAACCATCATTATATACATATTCTAAAGAGGATATAACAGAAAAGATTATATAGGCTAATTACCTAACATATTTATACACATCTGAATAAAGACTTATTTTCAATGGCATTATATCTAAGACATACTCACACATGCATATACAGTCATTTCAGAATGTATGTCATAATGATAGGTATTCCTCTGGCTTAGTTAACAACATGACTAACAGATATAAGAAATTTTAAAAAACATTAAATTTCAGTTTGTTTATTCAAACTGCTCTCTAAACAGAGGCAGTGTTGAACATATTCCATGTGCGTTGGATGTAACATAAAAATTTTTCTTTGGTTCCATTACAGAATTAGTACACTTCTCCATTGCCAAGTTTATAATGAAGAAATAATGGAGGAATGACTCATGCACACAAAAGGCTTTTTATAATCCAAATGCCTAACAAGTTCTAAAGTATAAGTGTTTATCCTACTACCAAGATATTTTTTAAAAATTTCTACAAAGCTGTTTTATGGGCCACTGTAGAAAATCAGTCTCAATACTCGGTCACACAATAATACACACACACACACACACACACACACACACACACACACACACCCCTCACCCAGCCCCTTCACCCTTTTGGCAGATGACAATAAAAGTTAAACTTGTAGGGTTTGTTAACCTCATCCAGCTTTGTTTGCTGTATGGAGAAGTGGTGGGGGGTTGCAGACTGTCTCCTTAGTTAAAATTTAGCATTGATGTGATCTCTGATATCAGGTGCACAGATCTTGGAGTTCTTTCGGGCCTGGTCTTGAGTCCTCTTATCTTTCCACTAGATAATGTCTTCCTCATGATCTCATCTCATATAGTCCTATTATTTTGAATATCATCTCTGTGCCAGTGATACCCAAACATATCCACTCTTATTCTTCTTGACTGAGCTCTAAATTCA